ATAATTAATAGTTTAAAGATTTACAAATTTTTAAATTATTAAATTAAATAAATTCTTAAACTATTATCTTACCTAACTATTATCTTACCGAATTTTTTAGTATCCCTACCTACCCGATTAAAGATTTTATATCCCTACCTACCCGTATTATATTTAATTAACGTTAAATTAATGTTTAATTAACATTTATTAATTTTTTATAATTACATTTAAATATAATTATATAATATAATAATAATATATAATATATATAATATATAATATAATATAATAAAAAAATATAATAATAAATATAATTCTATGATAAATTTATTTAAATAAAATTAATTAAATTAATAAAATTATTTATCATAGAATTATTAATGTTTAAACTATAATATTGCTTTATTTGTTTTAATTCTTTCCCACCCAAATTCTTACTCACCCAAATTTAAATAGAGCTATTAGATAGTACTATAGTACTGTCTATAGATGGTATTACAGAACTATCTATAGATAGTATAGTACTATTTATAGTACAGATATAGAGAGCACTCTATCATTCCCCGTCAATTACGTAAAATCGCACGTATAAAAATCTTATTAAGTACTTTTTTGTGGTTGTTATATATAAACTAACTTTATGTGATTCTTCAGGCCAGATTGGACTTACCTTTACCGTTGCTTCTGGCCACGTTGCTCCATCATCGACTTGGCCACATAGCTAGAACTTCTGACCACATATAGAGATAAGGAGGAAGGAGATACACTTCTTCAATTATCGGCTAATTATGCCGATAGATTCTTTATTCAACGCGCGTACGACGGTCATACAATTGTGTCGATCGCATTAATAAAATATGAAATTTGTGATAAAATCTTATAAAATTTACATAAAATTTTAGAAGCTAATTTAATACCGCGTTTTCGCATAGTATGCGTAATTAGTCTTTGATTTAAAATAAAGAAACTCAATTACATTTGATAAAAAGAATTTAAGAAAATTGAATAAAAAAAATATTGCAAAAATAAAAATAGAAAACTAAAAATAAAAACGATTGTGATCTACATAATTAATATATATATTCAAAGAAAAATATATTCAATGAAAAGAAAAAATCTAAGGCCCATATGATTCGTCCATATTATTCGCGTACGATCGAAACAGTTTATTTAAATCTCACCACACAGAGAGAATGATTTCTTTGGATTTAATAAATTTTATTAGATTCAAAGATATTTATTTTTTTAAATAGTCGGGCCTCGAGATTTACTATGATTTTTAAGACATAGTAATTCAACTTAGAAAGTCATAGTTTATACATAACATCATTTTATGTCTGCATTTATATTGAAAAATATATATCATAAAAGTATTTAAAATGAAAATTTAATGCTTTTGAAAGATATTAATTTAACTAAATTTCTTTTGTGCTGTTTCCATTATTGTTAAATATTTATTCCAAAAATTTAATAAATTTAATAAAATCTATATATTAATATATTTCCAAAAAATACTTAATAAATTAATTAAACTATTATTTTTAAATTATCTATATTATTTGATATGTTACATATGTATTTAATTTCTTAAAACAATTAAATTATATTATAAAAATAATAAATATTAAATTATACTTTCTTGCGAGATTATTTGATAATTTTTGAGCAATTTATACATCTCGCAAATAAAATATGAAAAACAATAAAATAATCAAACATTGATACAAAAAACTCTATTTTCTGAACTCTTTGTGTTTGTACAAGCATTGTAATAAATCGATAAATAGTGTAATACCAGGATTAAATATACAATCCCAGACTGTTTAAATCTATTCATTTTAGGGCAACAAATCTGTGAAAACATATCCAATCACAATACTTAATAATAAATATATAAAAATAGTCTAATATAAGACTTCACAGATTTGTCACCCCAATAGTAAAAAATTTGTCACTCACCGACCCGATGCGCAACAGCGGAGTTAATCTGCAACGTAGCTACGATGAATCTGTAACAGACAAACAGATGCAAATTATAACAGTGTTCGAAACAATAAATATTTTAAAAAGTAATTCTTATGCGTATAGTCCCAAATCTATTTACTTTTTTATTAGATATTTATTAAAATAAATATATAATTTTTCAAAAAAGATCATTATAGAAATAAATTCGTATAAAACTTGACATTTTTTGCTTTTCTTTTCGGAATTATAAATTTTAAATTATTTAAATTTAATGATCCAAATAAATGAGAAAACAATTAATTTAATATTGACAAGAAATATATACTTACCGCAAGGTTGCTCCGTCGGTGCCCGATGCCTCTCCTAGGCCTCTCCTCCTCCTCTCGGAGGGGTCGTCGGATGTCACTGCAGCACAGGACACTCACGAAAAAACACTCGCGAATTATTATAACCGCGCGCGGATTAACTTTCAATAAAAGTCTTTCGCGCGATACTTGACGGCACTTCGCGTTTAATTGTTTAATGAAAATATCAAGTTCCGTCGGTCCAATCAGCACCCGAGTCGGTGAGCTTTTCGAGACACACCTCCTTCGGGTACTTCCTCAAGCAAAGACTAGGACCGAAGCGGAAGAAGACGAATCAACTGACTTGAATTCGACGTCTCTTGTTTCTTAGAAATCACGTCTAAAATTGGCTCAACCATCACAACCAGCCAACGTTCAGGTCGAATCACCAGGACGGATACCATACACGTGATATCAAAAGTCACCCGGGCTATCGAGAAGGTAGATGTGACGAGAGAGAAGGGTACCTATCGCCGATCTAACAATCTAGACAATCGGACAATTGGGATCCAGTCTCTCGGCACACGCAATAACCGCCCGAATTAAGTTCTGATCGAGTCAGATTATATTATATATATGCGATTTGTTTAGGAAGGGGAAGGGTAAAGTATCAAGGAAGAGAAAATAAAGTTCGTTGACGATTAAATAATTGCACGCGCCACATGGAGCGCTTTCACGACTCGTGACAATGCTGTGTTGAAAATAAGAAATCAAGCGACGAAAACAAGTCAGCCGATTGAAATCTTGCCGATTGAGACCGAACCACTTGTCGAAGACAGAGCGTGTTCTCAATCAATCAAAGTTTAATGCAAGTTGCAACTGTGCGAAACACAACACATCAAGCGATAGCGGTTGACATTGCGTGTAACATTCACAGTCGGCATCACCAATGCGTCGCGGCGCACGTGG